AGAATGTTTCGGAATGAAACATTCCACAGAAAAATAATAAATGGTCAATAAATTAAAGGATTTTGTCAAATATCTGAATAGGGTTACGAGGTACGCAAAAAAAGTTGAAACCGAACTTTTTTAGTTGCTGATTTTAAAACATAAATTATTGAATAAAGAATATTATTATTATTTACAAATTAAGTAATAATACTCAAAGGAATAAATTAGACGGGCGAATGTTTAACGGCTTATTTTATTATCATCTGTGAAGGTTGATAGTTAATAAAACTATATCATATTCTAAAATTTGTAAAAAAAACTTATCTCAGATCCGTTTAGATAGAGAACTTGTACAATTTTATAAATGAAAATCGCATAGCAAAGCTAGGGTTTTGTGCAAGGAGATCAGGACTCAGATTCTTTGTTATAAGAAAACTTTTTAAAAAACTTTTTAACTACTTCTTATTGAAGAGAATGACTGTTCATAAAAAATTTATTTAAAATAATAATTAAAATTGTTCATATTGCAAATGACAAAAAGCAGTGGAAGTGTACAAATTTTTGTGGTGGTCTGACTGCCATCACCTTTAAACTAAGCAAAATGGATCAGATAAAATTGAACAGAAAGATCGTTCAGTAGATCAAATAAACAACTTAAAACAGGTAGAATCAAGTGCATTGTAGACTAAGGATTTGCAATGCCCTAAAAAGATTTTAAAGTCAATATTTATTTAAGATGTGAATAGAAACAAAAAAAGAACTAAATAAAATCTTAAGAAAAAAAATAGAAAATGAAGATAGAATAAAATCATCACATTTTCACGAAACAAATCTCAAAATTTGCAATGAAACCGAAGAGCGAATTAGTAAATTGTTTGTCTATTGTCTATTCAAAATTCTAATAATTGTGTTACTTTTATCTTTGAAACAATTACACACACAGTCTCACACTTCTAATCCATCCCAACAGATTTGTGGGTTCGTTGATCGACGATATGATCAAAAAGTGCCTTATTATCAGCTTAACCCTCCCAAAGCATACGCAATGTTATTTCTATAATTCCATATCCTTCTTAATTGCCTTCTAATGAATTTGAATGGAAGTCATTACTTTTTTTGACTTAACAGTCTTCAGCAGTTCAACAAATCAACAATTAATAGAAATGGAAAAAAATTACAGATCCCAAATCCATTTCAAGAAATTAAAGGTGTAAAAGTGAGAAACCAGTCATTATCTATCAGCAGATAATAGAGTAATTACCTAGAAATCATTTAAGTCGTTTATTGGCTACGAGTATTAATATCAACCAAAATGCACACCTAAATGTAACACCTAGCTATAATCAAAATCATTTTAATATAAAAGATTTTTTCCCCTTTCCTCACATCTTATGGATAAAAAAGTACGCTAATTTGTTTCTCAGGAAATGCAGGAATTTCACATACAATGACTTTTTATGCCAACTCTTCCAAGTATGTGCAACATCTTCATCCTGCAACATCATGTTCTTCATGCTCTTCATGTTCTTCATGCTCTTCGTGTACTCTTGATCCTTTGTACAAGAACACAGTTGGCTACATGTTTGAAATATGATGATTGCAGGAATAATAAATAACAAATACTAGGAAGAAATGTCCTGTTGCGCCTGTTGAAAATTCGTGCTATGCTAAAGAATTGCATCTACTTAGAGGTGTTTACACTCCAAGAAAACCCAACAGACAATGCTGCTTATGCATTTTTAATATGAAAATTTGAAATTGCGATTGGTTCCTGCAGTTTACGGAAGCGTGTCAAGGACTAATGTGCCATTAAGAAACCTAATGGGGGTAAATAAAATCAAACTTAGCACTCACATAAAAGTTTTTATAATTTCCTTAACGGATGGTTTTTTATGATCATTCGTTGTAATTTTGGTTTTTAAGCTCCAATAAAATAATACAAATTTTATGAATGAATTTTAGAGAAGAGATCAAGATCGAATGTATTTTGCAGTTATTAGGCGATCATGTATATGGTTTATGGATCGGGAATGTTTTAAGATATCTTGCAAAATTAAAAACTCTGATCAATAATTTTAAATGACAGAATTTCCACCCGTGTGTTATTGTTGATAAAGAAATCAAATTTTTGATACCGCATTTTTCTAAAAATACTTCCACATAGAACTAAAATATATGTTTTACAAAAAATTCATCTTTAAAATAACGATATAGATTGGTTTAAACAAATAGAAAAAGTATAATAAAATGATTATGCTTCATTATAAGCCACCCACCCAGGATTATTGTATCTAGAAACTATTATTATTATAGTATTTTTTTAAAACATTATAGAAGTACATTGAAAAAATTTTAACCCAATATAGAGACGTCACTGAAGCATTGACTCGGAATTTTTATACTTTTTTGGCCAAATATGGACGTTTCATTTTTAAATCATCATTAAGGTCGTCCAATTGAATTATAATTATATACACAGTGTAATATATGTTTTCTATATTTATAGTTAACAACTGTAAATTATGATACACGTACCCTGATTAACCCATTGGCATGACCTTATTGTTTGATGTTGGTCTTCACTTAAGTCAATAGACTTAAAGGAGTTTATCCTATCGTTTGTGGCTTGGTTTTTGCTGTGCTCTCGACATATCTATTTATTCAATTTTACTTATAATTATTATTATACTTATTTTTATTTTATTAACTACAAAATATAATATCTTATAACTAAAATAAGAAAACGAGCATTAGCTACCAAATGTAGGTTTTATTTATGTATTATATATATTATAATATTATGTATGTTATTAGAAGTATATTTTTATATTTATAGTATTATTTTGCCTAGCAGTCTTTATTAGAAGGGATGATAACTATTAGAAAATATATTATTTCGATTGTAATAGACCGTAATGAATTCAGTGCATTAATTTTTAGACATTGAATTCTGGACGTCAGACTAGGTGGTAACCCAAAACAATCTTAAAAGCAAACTTAAGAAAAAGCTGCTCGAAGCTTTGCTCTACCATTGCCTCAGTAATTTCTTCCCAATTTTTAAAAATTAGTTTTATTCAAAATCTATGTAAAGTCTAAATCCTATTCACTAGAAAAGAAAACTGCTAAAAAACTATTAAACCTCCGCATTTACCAAGCGTACCAGAGTGTGTTGAATGGAGCACTAATTGTAATAGCTGGTTATAAGCCTATTTGCTTTCGGGTGTAAAAAATAATAAAACACAATCTATAACAGCTATATATCTAGAGTTTTGGAGCAAGCACTATAATGAATGATGTGTGATTATTACCAAAAGCAATATTTATATTATATATTCACTGTTTTGAAATTTTAACGCTCAATTAATCAATGCACGGTTAACCATTCTATGGTTTTAATAGTTAATGTATATAAAACTTACTCTTGACTAAAAATTCGATAAAACTTTTGTTTCAATATATTGAATGGATTATAAGGTGGCTGTGATGATCAGAATTGACGGTTGGTGTTATATTTTCATTATTTTCAATACTGGCCTATTCCACCTCAAGACCAAATTGCACTTATTGTCATAGTGACTTTTTGAGGATGTCATGATCTTTTAAAATCGCTAAATCGATCGTTACGTTTCTCTGTCTCAGATGTAACAATTTTGTTTGCTGAAACTCAGTCTCAGTACTAACAAAAATTCGATGCGAAAATTCGCTACCATTTTCGTAGTAAACTTTCACAACTTTATGATGTTCAGCGGCTGTTAAAAAATATATATTCTAAAATGGCAAACCCAAAATTTAACACATGATACCTTGAATGTTAATAGTTTGCTCATTTATTCATTTGTCTTTAATTCAGTGCCGATAAATTAGGTACAATAAGACCTAAAGACCTAGGTTTTTAACTGAGTGGCTTTCTATCTGTTTTCATTAATATTTACACCATTTCTTCAAAGAGATTCCACTTGTCAGTTTTATCTATTAACGTTTCTATAAATAAAATATTAAAATTTTTTTACTAATAAATAATAAACAACAAAAAATCAAAATTATGAATTTTAATCAGTTTTTTTTATTAATATCAGAATTTTGACTTATAAACGTGATATATAACATAATAATTTGTAAAATTTTTAATCATTTGCATACACTTGTTTTGTGATTAGAGATGAAGGTTCTAAAAAGAATAGAAAGGAAAGATACAGAAATGGAACTTTAAAAAATTAAATTTAAATAGTAGTTTAATACATTCGAAACAATTACAGCGAATCTTCATATATTTGAGACAAACGTGGTGGTCCAGAAAGATAACCATAGCCATATAACCATATTTTAATTGTCCCTATAAATTTGCTGAGTTCTGAAATTGCTTTCATATAGTGATTCTTGAATAATTTTAAAAAATTTTTAACTTGAGAAGTTCATATAGCGCTATTTAGAATCGGGACTACTAAAAGCTAACTGCAGATAGGTGAAAAAAGATTGATTTAATTCAACTCAGACGACAATTAGTGTAACTTTTCGTTTATGGAATTCAAACTGTTGAAATGTTAAGGTGAAATCATTACTTGATATAAGCACTTCTTCATATTAAAGATATTTTTGTGTGGGCTTTAATATCAAATATATAAAGTAAGTTTGAGAAAAAAGACACTAAAAAAATAAATGGGTTTTTAAATGTAATTTATATACAAGTGAAAACAAAGGGTTTCGACGAACCTCCGTAAAGTCCCACAATTCATTTGTAGGGCATTATATTCTGGTACATCTATTCTCCAAAGCCTAGAACCGACTAGTTTTTAAACAACAATGAAACAAATGTTTAATGATTAAACATTAAATCGATTTTTATTATTATTATTATTATATAATGTTATTATATATATATACAACATGCCTAATTAATAGCTACCTTATGTATTAAATTTGAAGCACTTGAACTGCAGTAAGTAGAATTTTTCAGTAGAAAATGATGAACAATGAAAGCTAAACAAATTATTTACAGATATTCTAAATTACGGACAAAATAATTAAAAATAAATTCTTAATTAAAATAAATATAAAAATAAACAAGTTTGCTTAGTAAAATTATAGCTGCATTAACAATAACAATAAATGAAATACAACTAAAATAGAATAAAGCACTTAAGGATAATAAGTAAAAGTAAGGATATAATAAATAAATATGGATCTAATCATTTTCGATTATAGGAAACGTATTGGTTGTCCAATATCGGGGCCTCGAGGGCTATATTAGTTATTATTTTAATGTTTAGTTGTTTTTAACAAGCACTGTGAACTACATTTCAGGTGTTCTAATACCAGGAAGGATAAAATGACTGAGGGACTCCATGATAATTGACTTTTGATGGCGAGCTGAAGGCTGTGTTGTAGTTTTGCTTCATGTAATGTGTGGCGGTGGATGCGTTTGCTGCACCGGTTGACGTGCTGTGGTGGTGATGATGATGATGATGAAATGCTGCCGCAGCTGCGTATTTGGTGACCTGTTGATGTGCGTGATACGGATTGTACTGTGTATGTGTGTGTTGGGAATGGTGGAAGAGATGGTGTGGTCCTGGTGGTAACGCAGTTGATGGTGTTTCAGTTGATGATACTTCTGTAGCAGCAGCAGTAGCGCTAGCAGTTGGTGTATCTAACTGATGAGTCGACAAATTAAGCTCTTCAGGTGAGAGTGGAGCATTCGGACGTCCCGTGTATAAAGTTGTAGCTGAATTTATATTTGCAGTAGCATAATTGGCGAAAAGATTGTGCGACATTGCTGATTCGGACTTCAGTGCAGCGTGTATATCTTCATTGCTGTTGCCATTGACTGAATTCGGCCCTCCACCATTAACAGCAGATAGGCTATTTGGTGTCGGTGGTAGTTGAATTGTGTTGTTGATTGCATTTCCAGAACCATAATTTGGGGATAATGATTCGTTGGGACTTTCATTACGTGGCATTGTCTGATTTGTCTCAGATTCAATGTTGTAAAGATTTCCGCATGGTACTGAATTGTTGTTGGTACCAACTAATGGTGCAATCGTTGGATATTGCACTTGTTGTGTGAAGCGTGATTCTTCTGCAGTTATCGGCAAAGCGTTATGTGTTGAAAATGGATGATAGGGAGCAATACCAGAATTATAAATTTGCTGTGTTGGAGAGGTGGACAAAGGAGCTACTGTAGAATGCAATCCATTTGTACCGACTGATATATTGTTTGCATTGTGTCCGCTGTTGTGTACGGTATAGAAATCATACATTTGTTGCTCGTAGACGGCAGCTGGTAGAGTATGCATTCTAGCATAGCTATTATTGGAAATTTGATGGGCTGCGCCATATGGACCAACTGAGGTATTATTCATTGGTGTATTTGTGGCTGTAATCGAGGTATGATGTTTGCGTAAGCGTGCACGTCGATTACTAAACCAGACTTGTATGCGTCCCTCTGATAGATTAGTGCGCTCAGCAATTTCCTCGCGGGTGTAAATGTCAGGATATTGTGTACGTTCAAAAGCCCGTTCTAATTCTTCTAATTGTTGAGCAGAGAAAGTAGTGCGACTCCGACGTTGTTTACGTTTTAAGGCAATGCCAGGTTCACTTTCACAATCTGAGTTATCCTCATCGGATGGCTTATGAGATTTTTCCGAACCGCTATTATTGTTTTGTTTTGAACTATCGCTATCATCGATAGGTGCATCACGTCGTACCAAACGCGATATGGCCGAAATTGAAGGCGCTGTGGAGCGATCACAGAGACCGTCACGTATTAGTCGATCACGTATTTCCCATGAAAATATGCCTGGATTGGTACGCTTGTAATCTTCAATGCGATTTTCAATTTCTGGTGTTGCTATACGCGGTTTAGAGCCACCAATTACACCTGGTCTAATAGAGCCAGTCTCTTGATAACGATTAAGTATTTTTGATACACATCCATGCGAAACGCGCAATTGTCGGGAAATCACACAAGGACGTATGCCTTCGGCTGCCATTTCGACAATTTTTAAACGGATATTGTTAGGCAAAGGACGTCCGTTTATAAAAACCCCACCAAGTGCATTTACACGTCCTTGTCCAGCGTTCAGTTCCGCTGTAAATAAAAAGAATATGAAGATAAAGATTATATATTTGATATTAATGGTATTATTAATATGGTAGTCATAGGTAATTACATATAAAAAGTATCGTCAAATGAGAAAATTGTAAAATGTTGAGCAGAACGATTATTTCATGTTTTGCCAAATGCAAATGTGCAATTTATTCTTTTAAACTCAATGTATATTTGTATTTACTACTTATGGGTATACTTCTATAGATGTCAGTTCTTAAAATTTTATTATTTCAGGTAAATAAGCGTTTTCGAACGTTTAATTCTAATGTGTACGCGTGCTTCCCGCCGGGGTGTGAATTACTTGACGTTCATGAACGTTTTGTAGTATGTCAGTCATTTAGTCAGTCCACTAGTCATTCCGTTTTTGGGTATATAAGTACACAAAGATATTTGAAAGCGAGTGCCTAGTGATTTATAGCCGCACTAAAACTGAAAAGAATTGACTTCATAGGAAATTATTTTTATGGATTGTAGCTGTGCAAGGTCGCACGACCTATGATTGACACTCACTGTGACTTAATGTTTGCAATTAAAATGTTGAGAATACGAAAAAGAAAAGAAACGTAAGAAAATCCAAAGAAAACGAGAAAAGCATAGGAGAGTTGACGGGGAAAATAAGCATGAGAACTATATAAGAAGTTTGATTTTAAATAAGGACATAATTGATAAATTGGAATAGAATGTGTTATAGACGCAATATCTTGGACTTGTAGAGATAAAATTTTTCTTTATGATAACTGATTTTAAGCTATAATGTTTTGGTCATTTCAATGACCAAAAGTATGTTGTTTGAAGAGTATAAGTTTAATGAGTTTATCGGAAGTTCCAAAAATTAGGAAATCAAGTGACCAAAAGTATGTTGTTCACATTTTGTGATTGAAGACCATCGGTTTAATGAGCTTATAGGAAGTTCAAAATATTAGGAAATCAAATGGTTTCAAGAAAAATAAGATCAAATTGTCAAAATTAATACCTTGATAATCGCTTCAGAGATTACTATATACATGAAAATTTTTTCAAAATTGAAAATCTCGCCGTGAGACAATTGAAGACTCTCTTATTGAGTTCTAGTAATCAATTTGTCTGTTAAATTTTTGGCAAAATTAGTGTCTTTTTTTGTTAACTTTTTGTTAACAAATTAATATTCACAGGCACTAATAGCAGTAGCACTGGATCTACTAGCAGTAGCACAGAAGCACAGTAGATTCTTCTTCAGGTTCCACAAATGTTTATGCACAACTTTAATCCCATTTTTGTTATATTAACCGCATTAACTTTCATTGATTTGCACAAATTCTACACAAACTCTACAAAAACTCTACAGGAAACATTCTTTGTCATATCTGTCAAAATATAGTTGTTGTTAATGCATTTGACACATCTTACCTTGCATCGGTGGATATCCAGTAAAGAATGGCTTATGCATAGCTGCCGCCAGCGCCGTAACAGTCATTTCGTTTATTTACTGTTTTAGTTATTATCTCACTTTTGTCTCGTCTCAATATTGGCGTTTTGACTTATTTAAGTTCTAATTTGAAATAACACGGAAATTTCGAAAACATAAAAATTTGTGCCAGAAATCAAGTAACCGTTTATAATTTTATTAAGTTAATTATGGTATCGCAGTATTGGTTGGTATGTGCCGTGGTGTGTTCTTACCACTTGCAAAAGATTCTTTACTTTAGTTATACTTGTACATATATTTAATATTTAAATATATATATTTTTTTTCTTTCTAATATTTAAATATTTCTTCACACTTTAAGTAAAAATTTTCCGAAGCAAAGTCGATTAGTTGCGTGTGACGTGTTGTTCGTTTCGCGTTGATTTCATAACTGACTTCTTTGAAGATCTCTCATCAAGATCATTACTTTTCGCTTAAGATGTGTAAACGACAGCGGCTACCTAATTTCGAACTGTTTCTGCAGCATTTCAAAATAGTTTTTCCTTTTTGTTGTGTTTGATTTTCTCTTTTTTATTTTACATCTTACTTTGTTTTGCTTCTTTTTGCTTTGTTTTTGGCATTGTTTACAATTTGTTTTTATTTTTATTCTGAGTCTCTTTTACAAGACGTCAGCCATTTATTAATTTGTGTAGCTCTAGTCTGTCGTTCAGGTAATGTGGCAAGGCGTTCTTTTTAACGCTTCCAATACGTTTTGTTGTTTTGTTTATTGTTTATTGTTTGTTGTTGTTGTTGATGTTGTTTGTGAATGCAGAGAATATGAAACTCCTCCCATTGATAAATGGTAAGTGTGTGAGTATGTTCAACAATTTTACTATTGTTACAGCTAATTGGGTGAAAGTCAAATGGGTAAAGTAATGTTCACTTAATTAAATTAAATTATTTTAATATGAACTTAATATGCATATATGTACATATATATTAATTTTAAATTATGTTAGGTAATAATCATATAATAGTACTACTTCCAAGTTTTACTATTTTTACAGTTATTATTCTAATAATGTTTTTTTCTTTTTATTTATATTAAAAGAGCAGATGGGTTGGCATTAATGAACATTTAAATACACTATACATATGAGAGTTCGTTACTTTTTATTAGTTCCTTTGTTTTAGTTGTAAATTACTTGGAATATTTAACATTTTTATTATTTAACATAAAGTGACCTATCGGCTATATAACGGTCTTATATAAAAACCATTTAAAAAAACAGGTCGATAAATAAATTCAAGAAATGAAATGCAAAAATACGTAGAGCCTTCGAAATATTGTATGAATGTATATGAAGCAGTTGTTCCACGGTATAAATATTTTTTTAACTCTATAAATAGGGCTTTAGAAAATTTCCAGAAGTAATTGAAGGTTTGTGACAAAATTCACAAATTTCCGTTTCAAATTGTTTATTACAATTCATTAAATTGGACACCCAGTAACTGCTTCTTATTTCTAAAGTTCAAAATTTGTCCCAAAATGTAAAAGTTCCCGTTAAGAGATAATGGTGTCTCCACTGTAACTAGCTTTTTTGAAGAACTTCAAGACGTTTTTCCTAACGTCTTAAGTTGAGACGAGTTGAGACCAATGAAACATTTTAGTTGTAATGTGTAAATGATGAAATCTTATGTAAATTCAAACCTAAATACGGAATCAGTCTCTCAAGCGCTTTGGCGTTAAATATTATGATAACATAACCCCTACATGAAGATAATAGAACACATTTTCATTATATTTATAGTGCATTGACGTATTAACTTAGAGAGTTTTTACCGACTGCAATTTTTTGTTTTTAACCAAATTAAGGTACAATATTATACAATATTTATAATTTTGAGTTTGAACTTCGGCTTTGAGTATATGAGTTTATCAAGTTATCATAATTGCTTATTATTTTTTTTTTAAGCTAATCATTTTATATAATGTTTTAATTGATAATAAATAGGACAGTACCATATCTAATTGAACTATATAAATACATAATTTTATATGACCAAAGTATAATACTTTGGCTTTGCGTATATGAGTTTAACAGGCAATTGTACTTGTTTATTATTTTTTTAAGCTACTTATAACGTTTTAATTGATAATAAATCGAGGATATGTGTAATGATAAAATGAGAGTACTACGTTTGAATGTTTCATCCGGAAAAAACTATAAGCGTAATTAATAATCTCAAAGCGATCTGCTGACTACCTCTGTTAAATTTTATGAAGTTTTATTTTATGATTCTTCAATCGTTACATTTTAAATTGTGTTATTTAAAAATATCGACTGAGGAATTTGTCTGAAATTTGGTATTTCACACAGATTTTCTTGCGTCGAATTGTTAAAAATGTTGAAAGAGGCCTTAAATGAGTCAGTTTCATTAAAAGTCCGAGTATAGTATTGGTATAATGCATTCAAAGAAGGCTATTATATTTCTTTGATTGACGAGAACATTAAAAAGTAATGAAAACTGTAATGGAAAATCGTAATTTCAGCTTACGAGAGATGATAGTGTATTTCCTTTTTAATACTTATTTAAAATCAATTTTATCTCACTTATAATATAACGAAAGAACCGATTACAATTATAATTTTTATTGAAAAATATGCATATATCTAAACGTTTTCAATTATTTTTAATAAATATACATTATTGGCCTCAATAATATAATTTTATGTAGTATATTTTATTTAATATACTTTCAGTTTCAATTATTCATATAATACGAAATTATTATAATAAAATTTGTTTCTAGTGTTTGCTACGGAACCCCATAAATGTTTCATTTTAATTACAATAATAATTTCTTATCAGTAAGAATGCAAATCTATTTTATTGCACCATATTCGCCTTAAAACAAATTTTTTTCTGATTGGCAGTAAGCGTTTTGGAACAACTCTTCTTTATTATACGTCAAATAAATTTTCAACCAATCAGAAGGGACTATTCTCTCTTATTTCATTTAAGCTAATGTGTTGCCAGCTACAGAACTCGTTAGAGGCGTTACTTCCACAAATTTGATTTGTTAAACGCAAAAGCAATTATTTGTACTGTCTTTATTTTATTCAGATTGCTTGTATTGTGTATTGTGTATTTGTTTTGTGTTTTTCTGTTATTGTTTTTGCGTTATTTGCTTTACAATTATTGGCAGCCTTTGTATTTGATTATCTCGTTAATTTGAGGATTTGTTATGTGTAATTTGTCCCATATTAAGTCGATTCAATACTTCAATGCACAGCACTTTCACACTTTTTTTGTTGGGCGCGTATAATATTGAACACGCAAGAGCAATGACGATTTCACGGACTTTATTTAAAATAATTTTAATTTGCTTGGCTTGTTATTGATAATAATAATTTACAATTTTTTGACTTTTATTAATTAGTTTTATTTTTAAATGCTTATCAAATAAATCAATGAAATGCAACATTTTAAAAACTCAGCATTTTCATTTTCATTTTCATTTTACAGTTGCAATTAATAAATTACCTACATATTTCCGCTAATAAATGTTCTTAACTTCATAGGAAATTTCCTTAACGTATAAAAACGGTAATAAATGTTCTAATTTTAGAGGAAAATTTTTTGAATATTTAGAAATAAATAAAAAAAGGTTCTAAATTCCAGAAAAAAATAGACCGCAATTTTCTTAATATCTTTTCATTCTGAGAATTTTATTTATATGCGGAACCGCTGATTATGTTTAAGACTCAAATCTATTATTCACAAATAAAATAGTTTTCTTCTTAAATAATTTAATGAACTAAAGAGAATGAGAATTATTCTGGTGTTACTGCCAGTAGCAGTAGAAGTTCAGCTAGCTGTTGTCTCTAGTGGCAGGAACAAGACATTGATAAGCTGTCTAATATCACCAGTAATACTTGTAATTTTTTTGTTTCTTTGGTAAAATTAATACCTAAACTGGACTAAGTGTGATCACGTCAAATCACGTCGAAATGTCACGGAATGTATATTCATACGTAAGAGGCAATAACACTTTGTAAAGTATGTTCTATACTACTTTTTTTGACGCAATAGGGCTTAGAGACCTACTATAAACCCAGGAGGGGCACAATAGACCCGACGGTCGCAGTGCCACATCCCCTAACAACAATAATAATACATTAAGACTGAAAAGTTTTCGGAAATTCTCATTTAAAATTCGCGCGCTGTATATTTTTCGATATTTTAAGTTTATGTAGTTTGGCAGCACTGTCCTTAATTACTATGCCAAAAATGAGCTCGATCTGTCAGACAGTTCGTTTACGGCAGCTGTTGAAACCAGTTCACCTCAGTAGTGCGTTGCGAAATGTCTTCGACGGTCGTACGACCGTCCTGGAAGGCTTTGTACCACTCATAAACTTGAGTTTTCGATAAAACTGATTCCCCATAAGCCTTTTGTAGCATTCGCAACGATTCTGCACACGAAATTTCGTTCGAAACACAAAATTTGATGCAAACTCTTTGTTCAATATTTTTTTCCATTGTTTTTTTCGCAACGCCCTACTGAGGTGAACTGGTTTCAACAGCTGCCGTAAACGAACTGTCTGACAGATCGCGCTCATTTTTGGCATAGTAATTAAGGACAGTGCTGCCAAACTACATAAACTTAAAATATCGAAAAATATACAGCGCGCGAATTTTAAATGAGAATTTCCGAAAACTTTTCGGTCTTAATGTATATTGGATTTATAACTAAATCTAAATAGTTTAAATAATTGTTTTTTGGATGTATGGAACCAGGGATCGCTTTTCCTTATTTAATATATTAAATTATACGAGTACGATAAACAAAATATTTGGGTTATAACATATATATATATAAATATATACAATAATATATATATACAATAATAATTATAACATATTATATATATAATGTACATATATGTAACTCAAAAGTTGTCTTTTTGAGTTTTGTAATACATTTTTTTTGAATTAGTCACTTAATGCCTTATATTCAAACATATTTAGTTTAGAGACTTTTGCTCTACCTGACAATGGAACAATTATGTATCGCATATAAAGAGGGAATCCAGAAAAATCATTGACTTTTTGAGCCCTTAGTAGTTTTCCCTTGCAATGCAGAGAGAATTCCAAGAGGTAGTCCTATTCAAAGAATGTTGAATGTATTATATTTCTACATAAAGGACGATCACAATATCGCAAAAATAGCATTACCTAATCAAAGAGAATACAGTACACAACAGTACTTACTTACTTATATGGATATAACAGGGTTTCGGAGTGATGCAGCATGTCTTTTCAGGCGGCTTTGCTGCGTACGTGCTTTCTTCATTCTCGTACAACAAGCATGGTTAGTGCTTCCTTCACTTGATCACTCCTCTAGGTCTAGGTTTTCGCTATGAAATGGTGTTGAATATTTAAATTTAGCCCAAATTTTAGATTCTTCATAAAAACTTTTCTGGAAGGTAGCGCGATTCTTATTGGATTTAGTATTTTTTTGAAGTCATTTTTTTTAAATGTGTGATTTTAACAAAGCTATTACTTAATATCATTTAAAATTTTCTACATTATTGCAAATTATTAGAATTGCTTATTAAAAAGCCAGCTTTACACTTATGTATGGAAAAAGTTTTTTGTCGCTAAGGGCCATGTTTGTTATGCAGACAGTCATGGCCACATCAAATTCGGAATGTATTATAGTTATGGTCAATGTAAGCTAAAAATATGACAATGAGAACAAGAGAGAAACTTCGATCAAACTTTATCATGATAACAAGGTTTTTTGTATGTCGTCACGTTGGTTAAAACAGTGTTGCTCAGTAATAAATATTAGAATTTCCGACTTTTAAGTAGGAGTAGTGGCTATACTCACATAAAAAATATTACCGTTTAAATTTAGATACAACTAGAAAGTACTAGAATAGAAGTGATAGCATGAAAACTTAAGTCACTGCATATCATTACTTTATTGTCATGGTCAGATAGAGCATAGAACTGCCGTGGCTTTTCGTCATATGCATTGACTGTCTACATAACATGAAGTTTTGACTCTTAAGGCGATCTTGATTTAGCTTGATAAAGTGTTATTTAACGATGCTTTAAATGGATAAGAATATCAACTAAAGAATTTATCTGAAATTTTGTATTGCAAACAGATTTTGTCGTGTCGAATTATTGAAAATATTGGAAGAAGTCTACAATGCTTCAGTTTTATAGAATGTCGAAGTATAGGATTGGTATAATGCATTTAAAGAAGGCTTATTTCGTTCCGAACATGGATATTGTAGTAGAAAATCATTTGATTTTCAAGTTCTCATTTCAACATAAGAGAGATGCTTGAAGTTGACAGTACGTCTCATGAATTCATTAAAGCTACTTTAGTTTATGGATTCATGTAAGTAAATATTTAGCCAAACATTTAACAAATATCACTGACCCTGTTCCGCACTCCGTCGATATGTCATGTAACTTTTTCCTGCTCTTCAAACTAAAGTTGTTAAATTGTGGAAAACTTTTTGAGATCTCAAAAAATAAAATTCCTAAAAAAAGTTTAAGGTATACGTTGGCATATATGTCACATCAAAAGAAGTTTATTTGAAAATTGATAAAAAAATTTTATATAATTAAATCAAAATTTTTTATTTTGTTCCATAATAAGGGAATCATTTTATTTAAAAGATGTATTCAATTTTTATAAATCTATAACAAAGAAAAAGTAATTGACTACCGACATGAGCACGAGCAATTTTTCACCAAATTTCCGAGGACAGCTTTCAGCACCAACTTTCAGCATAGTGACGATTTCCATTACGGCGACCATGACAGGACAATGAGGGTTAAGGCATCTAAAATTTCTGAGCTCGGCTTAATACAATAGTGTGAGTTTTCATCAGTTTTGTGTGAGTAATAGCTCTTTATACGGTTCCGACAGTTCATACGCTTCTAATCTATTAGATTATTTGATATATTCTTTGTTCTTACCGATAAACAGACTGACAAATTGTCAAGAAAGTACTTCCTAAGAAACCTATTTCTTCTGGCATTCAAAATATTTCACCTTAATTGACCTTGTGACAATCGTCTTTTCGCTTAATAACGCCGGATCATTTCTTACGAAAAATAATTTCGTGATTGTGAGAATAATTGGGTAATATTCTATTGACTATTTCATTAGGAATAGCATTTCATTGGACTTTCAATTTTTTTATGAGGGCCGCAAGGTTAAAATGATTATTAATTTATTATTTAAAGATTTGTAATATTATGTGCTTATAGAATTGTAAAGGGAAATTTTTGTAAACCTAAATGACTCTTCTTTGAATACCCGTTCTTCCGCATTTAAGCAGCGCTGGACTATGAAACACTCCAAAAGTTCTTTAAGTTAGTAAGCCAAACGGTGACCCTCTTTCTCAACGCACACAATATATAGAAGGTATATCCTTTTAATCTACATTTATGCATTTTTATTTTCATCATTTGTATTGCAACGGGCATCTGAGGTTGATTAATTATGAAATTTCACGCAACAACTGTCCGCTTTGTTCTCCAAACACCTCAAACACCTCAAACATCTCAAAAGAAATTCAGTTTCAATCTAAATAGAACAATTGTTTGCACCTACCGGACACGGGTGTAAGCACGACCCATATCATAAGAACGCAATCAATTGTGGCAATATAAAGCGACAACAACAACAGCAGTAACAACAACAACAATAACAACATCCATTTTACAACCGAAAAGGGCAGCGTGAAATTTTGACGCCACCGCGAATAAATGAAAAACGATGTTTAAATTTCGCTTCAGTTTGAGAAATTATGTTAGCGAAGCAATTCGAAACTCGTTGCTAAGCTATAAGCTACTAAACTAAATTTTACTTAAATTATAAAAAAATAAGTTACAATAAAATTAAATTCATTTCCCACTATGACTAAACCATCCAGTGCGTTTCCTTATGTATAAATAAAATAGATTTCTATACAACGCCATCTGCAGGACAATATCTTTAAGAAAACTTATAGAAATGCTATTGCTATTGCTTAGCCAAATTTGGACGCTACATATATGTATGTGTGCTGATTTTACATAATGTACATGTGCGTACCCTGGACCGAAATTAGGGGTCCAATTTGAAATCTAGGGGTAATATTCACAGGTAATATTACGCAGGTAATATTCAAAGAATATTTTATATTTTTTAGGTAAAAAGAAAGTGAGAGTAATTTTTTAAATAAATATTAAACATTTCTCATTTACTTAAACTTGTTTTATTTTACTATTTACTATAGAAATTTCAAGGTAAAACTTCAAGTCTGATATTACCTGGTACTTAATCAATGTGTAAGCGCTCTTAAAATTAACAAAGTCATAATCAATAAAAATCACGGATTAGATACACACATTGAAAAACTTTACTTAACTAGGTAAGTATCGCGATATAGCTTGTTCAGCTAATTTCTCCATCTCATTTGATAATTGTTACCAACGCATAAGGACCATCTTATCTTAAAATCTGTTTTGTTTTTTAAGAATGTTAACTTTTATTTCGTGCATTCTTAAAAAACAAAACAGATTTTAATAAAAATTTCGACGTAACAACTCAAAAAATTAATAACAAAATTATACATCTTATCTTATTCTTCATCTTGTGAACAATTTTTCTCTCAAAGGCTGCTTCTCATCACTGTTGGTAATTGTCCAAGCTTCTGCACCATATATAAGGACAGACATAAGAGACTTATAGAGCGTAATTTTTGTTTGTCGAGAGAGGGTTTAATTTCTCAATCCTCTACTTAGCCCGAAACCACATCTCTTGCCAAAATTGAATCTTGATTGAATCTTTACACTGACGTCAGTATGTCTATCAAAACTATGAAAAAACTTAATAAATAAGCCTGCAAAATATTTATATCATATAACGACTTACCTATTCACAATATACCTGAAAATCTACTTATTAAAATATTCGTCTAATATTCTTTTGTATTATATACAACTCTACAGGATGACGAAAAAAACTATATTTACATATTACTTCTAATAAAATCAATACACACATTCACTAATCCCATGCAATCACAAATTTGCAGATGACTTTAAGTCGATCATCAATATTACCAAGGAGTAGTCCAAACTTTCAATCATTTTTTTATTCTGTGAATATTTCCATGGATCGGATGCGAAATATGCAATTTGCTCCAACTTATTCTTTTTAGTCCCAGCCTTTGCAAATATAATGATGATGACTTTTGTACCTCAAAAATAAGATATATCCGAGTTGAACCTTTAGGACAATGGAGTATAAACGTGTACAAAATAGTTGGTCAAGTAACCAAAACTGAGAGATCATACATATCCTCTAATTTTTTACTGCAACTTGCACGTATCAGATATATCAAAATACATCTCACTCAAAAAATGTTAAATAGATAAAGCCAACCTCTTTCAACATTACAGAGAATTTTAACATTAAAATACCCTACCCACACCAGGCTCGATATCGTTAAATTTAGCAGATTTTGCTTCCCATATTTTTATTAAATGACCAAACACTAACGTCAAATTATTAAATACCTTCACGCAAACCCACTTACTACTCTTTCCGAAAGGTTCCAATCCAAAATCTATCAATCTCTACCAGGTTACATAAACAAATATCTGCACATAAATACCTATATATTAATTTAGTACTTAAGACGTTCAATTAGTATTGCCATTATTATTATATATTATTTAAATAATAAAAAAAATAATTGGAATTATTTTTTAAACAAACAAAATTGTTATATTTCTTATAACAAAAAGATAAAAAAATATATTATATATATTTCACAAGAAAAATTTGCGAAATAAATTTATCAAAATAAATAATATAGTTGCGCATATGGTAATGAAGCCGAAAAAAGGCACTATATAAGTGCAAAAAACATTGGGTGGGTTTACGTTAGAAGGTTGATCATCACCCATCCAGAGTTCGACATCAATTTCTGTGCTGGATATCCGCTAAAAAGGCAATAATTTTATTTTAATCATTTTAAACCTATAATAAAGAATAAGTTACAGGTTTGGCTCTTGTACGAGCACCAGTACGAGCACGAGCTCGCCCACGTTCACGCCCAGCACTGCCTCGACCACCTCTTCCATAGCCACCAGCACCGCGATGTCCACCATGACCACCGGTATGAAGAGCGTTAGGATACTTATCGCCATGAGTACGGCTGCCAAATTCCGCTTGAAATAGTGGTGATAATTGCTGTTCAGATTTTGAAAGCAAGAGATCTCTCTTTATACCTTTTTGTTGTTTAGCTTGAGCCATGAAGAAAAAAATGTAGACTTATTTAAATATAATCATCCGAATTAATATATTAAAATAACATACCTCGTGGCATTCTGCTCTTAAGAATTTATAACACAGAAATTTTATGCAACACAATCAAATATATAATTTTTATAATGAAAATATTTTAATTTAATTTTAGTTGAAGTTTTTTTAAACTTTCCAAGGCATGTGTGATGGTTACCTCTCTATAAAGAACACGAAGATAACTTTGATATATTCCCACAATTTTCAGATTACTGCTCAAAAGGGGAAATTTGGGAAAAAAGGAAATATTCAGATTACTGCTAAAGTAGCACTAAAGTAGCACTAAAGTAGCACAAAGCCTTTGGCAACCTGACATTTGTAAATCGTATTGTAAAATATAATAAAATTGTTTGACAGTTCTTTGCACTTGAACTAGTAGTAGTCAAATGAAACATGTATTTATATATTATTATGCTGAGGCTAGTTGAGTCAGTACACTTGAGCACTTTTACTCTCTATTAACTGCGAGGTTTCTTCATAACCCCTTCTCTACGCCTTGACTGAATTATTGTTGATCACTTCTCCAGACTAAGCAATCACTTCTTCAGTCTCAGATCTGCCTGTAACAATTCTGAGATTTGATAACGCGGTGTTGGCAAGTCCGTCAGTTTTCGTAAATAATTTCAGAGCTCTATCCTTTATGTATTTTTTGATCGGATCAATCTTGAGGTCCCTGAGGATGCCTTATGTACCATGAGTTTCAAATAATAATAAAAAAAATCTATTTATACCTATTTCTACCAATCTATTTATTGCATATATTAGGGCACTTTTTTGTTTTACTCTGCAAAATACATAAAGATTGTATATAGCAGTATTATCATGCAATAAATTCTTCTTAAATTTGACATAAAACAGCTGAGAGACCTTGATTGTCAAAATGCTAAGTAATATAACACTGCGAAGGTCAGCTGGCGGATTTTCTAACTCATTATTGAATACTTTCATTAAAAGTGTATTGTATGACAACTTGAAAATCCTAATTCTACTAAGAGAGCGTATGTTCCTTAATGAGTTAAAAGAACTTTCCATAAATCCTAAATAAACTATGTGGTATACAATTAAAGCATATATTTTGGGCAGATAGGGACTTAAATATCTCTATTATTAATCAACTATATTAAATGTGGTGGTATTAGTGGTATTAGTGGATACTTACAAAAACGTAAATCGGTAATGCTGAAGTTGCTAAGCACTTGAAATACTATAGAATGGATACAACGACAATAAGCAATGACTATTCAGTATTGGTTCCTATTATTTGAATACATAAATTTAAAACTTTTTAAATGAATGCAAAGAGTTCTAAAATTTAATCAAGTTCCACTCAATGCCATAATTAATACCTAAGATCAAGTGTCGGTCACCACTCCAATTAAGCAGGGTGGTGAGCCTGCTTAAAGAGGTCGCAAAATTGATTTAGTTGATAATGTGATGTTGATGAGTAATTGGAAGTGACGTTATAAAGAATTATTAAAAATCAATAACAGTAAAAAAATATTTTTCAAATTGTTTAAATTTTAGTTTCTTCTTTCCAATTCAGAAAACTATTTGACTACTGTCTGTACTGGTAGTTTTTGTTCTTCGTTAGATTAAAGCTGAGTTATTTCTGTCCAAAATTTCATTTCAAGATGGGTTTTGCACTATTCGCTGTCGCAGATTTTCCATAGAATTTTATTTTCCTACTGACAGCAACAAAACAAAAAGAAAGATGACAAATATGTATATAAGAGCACAGTCGAAATTTTCGCTTGTTTCGCGTCACATGAAGTCCAATGGTGCGTTGTGAATAAGTCTACTTAGAGGTGTTTATGATGCCCACCTACAGAGCTGTGAATGAATTTAATGAATTTCGCTTAAGATAGGAAAATATTCAAAAAATACGGTCTACTTACACTTCGTACTTATCTTTTCACAGCACAGAAACTAGTAAATCAACCACCAAAGAAATGTCAACTTTCCTCTGCTCTTCACCTGATTTGGCTGAGTACCTGTGAATGATCTTTCAGCCGATAAGCGATAATAATTTATGTCGCACGTTGACTAAAATGTTTGGTTTAGAAAAAAAAACACCAATAACAATAACAAAACTTTTGTACAATACACCATAATTAAGAATATTAATTTTTTAACTAATATTTTGTTTATTTATAACTATTTAAACAATTACACGTATCAATAAAAACGAGAAGGATCGGCCTTAAATGATGTTAAGACGCGAGGCTGAAGATATAGATGTGCTTAATTGAACTCATTGGTTAACTTATTCAGTCTGTTAAAGTTGACAGCATCTCATCTATTAAAATAATCGAAAGAGATCTTAACTTTAAAAGGCACTTAGTACTAAGAATTAATTAAATATATTTGAAAGAAGTGTATAATAAATAATATATATAGGTATTATTATATTTTTAATACAACTTTATTATATACTAAACATTAAATTGAATAGATATAATACTTAACTGTATCTACATAGCAGATACTATCTATTTGCTACCTTCATAGTAAGTTGGGTTTGGTAGTAAAAGCCAACCAATGTGTCAAACCTTTAGTAATACCATATTGTTATGTCGACTGATCGCAAATGGATTAATATTAAAAAAAACTGTTCAGAGAACTACAATAGAACGGAAACTTATGTTTTATTAAGAATTTTTTTTTTAAATAGTCTGAATACTCAAAATGGATTTACTTCTTGTAAAATATCTTTTTGTATACTATATATTTTTCTGTAAATTCCTACCATCAACATAAATCCATATATTAAGTTCACTTCGAAGTGGATTAGTTATCAACTTATTTTAATTTGTTAGAAACTTAAGAAAGGAGTAGCGAAGAATTTTGTTAGTTTTCGCTAATTATTTTAGCAGATTAGCATATGTTTGTGATTTTAAATATCATTAATACGTTTAATTAATGATTAAATTATCTATTAACTACTTGTTTTATCATTGTGTCTTATTTGGTCCATAGGTTTTAGAATTTTGTGTCGTTAATATGTTTTATTAGAATTTTGTGAATTCACGTAAAAAGTTGAGCAGTATTAGATGGACTTGTAGCACTATATCAGATTTTGTTTTTGATCAGTATTATTTTAAACTTAATAATCACATAATTAAGTAGTTGTAAAAATAAGACTCCGTAAGATAAAGCAGACAATTGACAAAAAATTGCTGTTTTATGAAATTGTTCCTCAGTGTAATTGTAAATAATTGACGACCCAATAAAATGAAGTCAAGTAGCGAAAAACAGTGACTGACTATTTAAAATTCAGCAACATATGCGACCACCAGTATTGCCGATTGACAGGCTCCTCAACGCGTTATAGCTCATTTGGATGTCACTTGGGCATTACGTCAAATTGCTTTGATGAGATGCAGTCGCACAAGCAAATCGACTCCGGCCGACGAGGGGCGAAACAGTTTGTTGGGGATGATCGCATCGGGCAATGAGAGCAGTGTGAAGAAATTTATAAGATCAAGCATTGCGTCATTAAACTGGAGTGTCGACGACATAACTAATTCATCGTCTGTTCTTCAGAGTCAATGAGGAAAAATTTGGTGTTTTTATTTCTCAGAATTTGTGAAATCAAAAGAAAAGTTGTGTACCGAATTTTCCTGGAAAATAATTAAACGCGTTAAATTGAATTTGATAAGGTTTATATTAAAATTCTGACTTCAATTAAATAATTTACTAAAAACGAAGAAATTTTGTTTTGCCTTTTGATTAAACTTATTACAATGAATTATTTCATATAGATTTATTATAAATTTTCTAAAATATTTTTAGTTGGTATTCAAAAAGTACCAGGTACTCCTTTTTCTTCTTGCGTAGAGAGCGGCGCAATATAAGAAGTAAGAGATATATACAAACACACTGATATTGACATATCAACATAAGGATCTCTAGGTGGAAAAGAAATAGATGGGTGAGGTAGACCTAGAACAACTAGCGGTCGAACTATTTTAGATGAATGGCAACAATTGAAATTTATATCTGCGAATAGGAATCAATGAAATAGTTTGTTTCCGTCCTTAATTATAAGAAGTGTTAATGTTAAAACTTGACTTATAAGATCTATGACAAATGAAATCTGACAAATGGTTATAAACCCGAAATTAATTCCTGCAAAGTTAAAAATGATATTCTGGTGATAGATGTTCAAAGCATGCTTAACATTTGGAGGAACCAGTTCTCGAATCTATTAAACGGCGGTAGTAGTGATGTGACTGAAACCGAAGATGATTCCTAATTCGTTCTATGTCTGGACAGAGCCTTTTAAGCTAACTTGTACAATTCATTCGTACTGTTTGCTATCTACACTTAACTTTATCTCTTAGTTTAAGATCTCAGACCTGATTTGGCCTCAATAAATATACTTGTGCTTTGAATAAGAATAACTTTAGTTTTCCAATGTTATATTAGAAATAATTATGCAAATGTTTAAAATTGTAAAAAAAAAAATAAAATTTATATTGCATTATTCACTCTCTTAAATTTACTATGTTTATTTTATTTTTACAATTTGGAGAGATGATTGTTATTATAGTAAAAATTAAATGAAGACTCAAAGTAATATCTTTTAATCTTCAGAAAGCAAAAGAACAAAACCTTTTATAAAACTTATAAATTTTTTCTATTATATAAATTAATTTTATTTTGCAATTACCAGTGGGGTCGCTAGGCGTCAGCGATGACAGCCTCATGCCCACAGGAGCCTCGCTAAAAGGTACAGACTGTGTTTTCTAAACACTTAATAAATATTTTGAACAATTTGATGTAATAATGAGATTAACCATATTCGATGTATTCCCGAATGTTTATATAGTAACCAGATTCATGTTCACACCTCCAGTCAGTATAGCTTCGACGGAAAGAAGCTTTTTAAAGTTAAAATTGTTTAAGACGTACTAGAAAAGTATGATGATTCAAGAGAGACTATCTCAATTGGAAATTCTATAAACTGAGGCAAAAATAGCAGCTGGCGCAAATTATGATATAATTAAAAAAAAAATTGAGTGAGGCTAAAAGTAGGAAAATTCATTTATTTTAATTTGTGATTATTTTAATTTGATTAGCAATA